GGGGGGGGGGGGGGGGGTGGTGGAGTTGGGGGCAAAGCGGCATCTAGACCTGGGGCTCTGTGTGCAAGACCTCCTCCCAAAGCGCTGGCCCCAGCCCGAGGCCTCAGCCTATGCCTCCCAGGATGAAGGACGCAGGACACTCAGGTTGCCTGCAGCAGGCGAGAAGCAGAAAGGGTCCTGGGCGCTTTGGGAAACAACCTCTGATTACAGATGCCTGTGCTCTCTCCCTGGGCCCTCCCTGTCTCCCTCCTCCTGTCTGTCTGTCTCGAGCACTCTCTGCCTCTCTCCGCATCTGCCTCGCTCTCACTGCTCCTCTGGTATTTCTTTCCGCCCCCTCCTCCCCACCCTTGGGCCCGCTTCCTCCTTCCTCTCTGCAGAGACCCCTGGAGAAGCCCGATGGCCTGGACGTGTCCGACCAGAGCAAGGAGCACCCCCAACACCTGTGCGAGAAGTGCAAGGTGCTGGGCTACTATTGCCGGCGTGTGCAATGACCCGGCCGCCTGCTGGGCCCCGCCGCCCTCCTGCCAGCTAGAGAAGACGCCACCCCCCTGAGTGTCCCCTGTGTGCGCGCGGGGGCGTCCTCGCAGGCTTACAGGTCTAGGGGGCGGGCTCTTGGCTCATGTATGTTGACAAACAGTGTGACTGACGTAGCTGCGCCCCCAGAAGGCCGGGTCTCTGTGACTCTCTACGGGGGGCCCTGGGTCTGTGTGCAGGGAATAGGGCAAGCAGAGTTCAGCGCACAAGACCACACAGAGCCCTTGGTGTCCCCGCAGGCTCTCCTCTGAGGCTCCCTTTGGGGTGAGCAGCCTTGTATTGGCCACGAGTGCACTAAATTTACTGTGAATCCCAGAGCCTGCAGGGGACTGTCTCCCCAAGACCGGCCAGGCCGCCTTTTCCCACCCAGAACCTTCCAGTTTGCCCTGTGTGAAAAGCCACTCTTAGAAAGCCCTAGTTTTCTGTCTAAGTCAGCACTCATGGCAAGCTGACACCTGTTCTCGCAGCTGCTGGGGAGCGGGCATCTCTGCCCCCTGCCACTTTGAGCCCCAAACCTGACCGCCTCTGCCGTCACTGGCATTGCACCTGGGCGCCGCACCCTGCCCCCCCCCCCATAAACCCAGAGGGCAGGCACGGGGGGGCACTGAATGTTCGACAGTGTTCCAAGGGGGG